CACAGGGGTCGCCTAAGACCATCGGAAAACAAAAAGATATTTACATTATGATTCATAACAGTAGCAAAATTACAGTTATAGAGTAGAAACGAAAATAATTTTATGATTGGGGGTCACCACAACATGAAGAACTGTATTAAGGGGTCACGGCATTAGGAAGGTTGAGAACCGCTGCATTAGAACCTGGGTCACTTTTTGACAACAAAAGTGTTGACAGGGAGATTGTGTGAAATATATTCGTTGATTCATTATCATTTCCTGGAAAGCTGCACTGGATATGGCTAGAAGTAGGACATTCCCGTGATTGAGAACCCTCCTGGGATTCAGAATCTAGTGGGGGATGCAGACACACACGCAGAAGAAGGTCACACTGTGCAATTAGTGCTGAGAGTCAGGGAAGTGGAATCCTTTGGGAGCCCAAAAGAGGCTCCTAACGCAGCCTGAGTTGGGGTGCAGGTGGTGGTCTGGAAAGGAGGCAAACCTTGAGTGATTTGGTTAACCTTGAGGTTGGAATCATAGACTGGGGTCAGACAGATATGGGTTTGAATCTGAGCTCCACCATTTACTAACTGTGAGACCTCAACCTACTAACAATTAGACGTTGGGCAAGAAACATGATTGCGGTCGAAAGTCAATTTCACAAACAGGGATTTTTATAATACCTATGTGCAAAGGTTGTTGTGAAGATTAAACGAGCTATTTATACATAATATAGTGGCTGGTACATAGTAAATCCTTAATATACAGCACTTAAATGTTAATAATGTGCTGAATTTCAAACAGTGAATTCATTAGAGCAAGGAAAGTGGGAAACTGGGTTGGAGCAAAGACATTCCAGACCCAGGGAACAGCAGTAGCAAAGGCTCAACAGTTAGGAAAGTAACATGGTTGTGTGTGTGAAGGACTGAAAGCAGCAGTTTAGTATTCTGGGAGCATAAAGTTCAAGGTGGAGAGCAGTGGGAAATGTGGTTGGAATGGTCTGTTGGATCCAGGTCATGAAGGGCCTCACCTGCTATGTTTGCTACTCCACAGTCAGAGGAGGGTCAGCCTCAGGCCAAGGAGATGCTTATGGGTCAGCAAGGGACCCAGCAGCTGGAATCCAGTCCCTAAGAGGCCTGCAGAGAGGCAGGCAGTAGCCCTGCCATGTGTGTGAGATTCAGCAAAGAGCTTCCTTCCCAGGGGGAGGAAGGTGTGGTCAGGGAATTAAGGCAGACAACCAGGTGAAGTGCCTGGGCTTTTAGCACCATGGGAAAATTAAGGGTTAAATTTTTCCCTGGCCCAGCTGGCAGCTCAGGGCACAAGACTAAACCTCCTGGTGAGGACCCTGCACCTGATGTAGTCAGGGTTGGCTCAAGGCCAAGGAAGGGACTGCAGGACTCTATGCTCCCTGCTGAGTGAACTTGGAGAAGATGGAAACTAGTTAGTTAAGCAGGGTTCTATCAAGACAATGGGCTCCAGGATAGGCTGCTGACTGTCTCAGGAATCACAAGCAGCTGAGACAGCCCAGGAAACAGTGAACTTTCCCAGTCAATGCTGCTGAATGACTGTGAGTCTAGTAGGCGGGGCATCCGAGCCCTCAATCAGTCTGGGCAAATGGTCAGCACCAAGACGAACTGCCAGGTAGACAGAGCAAAACTTCGGAGGCTTCACAGCAGGGGAAATCTGAAAGTTGGAGTAGGCTGTTTGTGACTGTCTTGGGAACTAGAAAGGACCTGGGGTACAAGGGAGGACTGGTCCAGGTCTGGGAGCATGCTGGAGTACAAGGCAGGTCATCAAGAGAGGCCTTCAGGGAGAGGGACCCAGGCTGGAAGACCTGTTCTGACAATAGAGACACATAATTGGGGGAGCGGGAAAGTCAGAAACAAGGGACAGCCCCATCTTATTTGAGCTTAAAGTACTCAAGGTCGTGTGATAATGAGCTTGAGGAGGGGGTGAAGTTGCTTTTCTCTCCTGTATTGGGTTTGTTTGCAGAGTTCTGAACTGGGCTTTCACAGGGTGAGGACAGGAGGGTGGCAGGCATGGGGGCCAGTTCCAACCTGGCTATATACTCTGGATCCCATCTGTCTCATGGAGAAACATTTTGTTTTAGGACTGGGCGGACTTTGAATACGTCCCAGACCCAGATGCCAAGAAGCCAGATGACTGGAATGAGGCGATGGATGGGGTGTGAGAAGGGTCCCTGATACCAAACCTGAAGTATAAGGTGAGGGGGGCGGGTCTCTCCTTCCAATAGATGTGAGAAATAAGACAGAACAAATGTAAATTTTAATTTACAAAACAGACACACTGAGATCCTGTCTGTGGTCGCCTCCCCCCGCCCCCGCCCCCAGTAAGACTATAGCCTCCTCTGGGCCCTGTTCTCAGGGTTGTGCCTACCTGGGAGATGGAGCGGGCTGGTAAAGGTCAGCGCTGGGAAGCAGAGGTCCAGGCGAAGGGTTTGTCTAAGGTGGTGGAAAGCAGCCAAAAAACCACAGTCAAAACAGGAAATTGTCTGGGGCCAGGAACTGGAAGTCTCAGAAATGGTCCAGAAAGGGAAAGCGCGGCAGATGAACGAGCCAAAAGCGTTGAGGGGGGAAGGAATAACTGCCTTTTAAGGTCTAACTCCTGACCTCATGTCAAATGCGAGAGGGAACTTAAGGAATAAGCCACCAAATGGTCCAGAGATAAAATTCAATGAAGCAAGCATGATTATATATGGCCAGTTTCCTCTGCTACACACCAGGAAGGGAATGGCTCCAAGTGCAAGAGTCCTTAGATGGCGTTCCCTGTGAAGCTACGTTTTCTTAACCTCATGCACAAACTTATGCAGAGAGATGGGACCAGGCTCAGAATTGGTCTCTGCCACCTTGTTTGGCTCCCTCTGGATAAAAAAGGGAACTTGGAAAAGCCTTGTGCATTAACTCAAAGAAAGGGAAAACAATTTTCCAGAAATCCTGCCCTGAATCCTTATGCCTAAGTACACAACTGTCTTTATAATTGTCCTTTCTGATTACATGAGAGGAATGGAAAAACACTAATGCTGTGTTTACTTTTTGGTTCTTTGCTTAGGGACAATGGAAACCTCGGATCATTGATAATCCCAATTACCAGGGGGAGTGGATTCACCCAGAAATAGACAACCCTACATATAAGCCCGACCCCACCGTTTGTCACTATTATAACATCGGTGTTCTCGGCCTGGACCTTTGGCAGGTAAAGCTCTCTGAGCTCAGAGCCACTGATCAACAGTCCCTCTAAAGTTTCCACAAAATGGAAAGAGCTGTAAATCACAAGCCTTGAATGAATCTTGATCTTTCTAAGCCTCAAACTGCTTATCTTTAAGATGGGGCTAATTATATTCATCCTAATAATTTAGCTAAAATTTATCAAGTCCCTATCATGTACCAAGTACTATATTAGAGACTTTGCAAATGCCATTTAATTCTCACTATGAAATCTCCTGTTCCTAAATGTGAAAACTGAGGTTCAGAAAAGTTAAATAGTTTTCCTGAAGACATATCCGGTAAGCAGAAAACCTGGGATCCAGGTGCAGGCCTTTCTGAGGCCAGATTCAGGGTTCCAATGCTTCACACTGCTGTGCTGGTCTTACATGGTTCTTGCGGGAAGTTCTGGGGATAGAAGTGAATTAGAGATGTTACAGAACTTTGAAATATTAAAATCCCTAGACAGATGTTGGGCGTGATTGTCCCAGTCACGATGACATGTCCTGACCTAGCCTCCCTGCCTTTGCCAGTCATCTTTCCTGGCTCTGATTGGAAGGGAAAGAGAAGGGCTCAGATACCCAGGCCTTCATCTATCTCCCTCTTCCCAGAGACCTGTTATTAAAGATAGGGAGGATTCTTCCCCAAGTCAGGAGAAAAGAGAGTACCTCAAGCACCGGCCCCCAAATGAGGGCCTCAGCCCAGGAGGCCTCTTAGAAACTTCAATCTACGAAGTCTTGGAATTCCCTTGCAGAGGAAGGGAACTCACTTTTGTTAAATGCTGGCCTGGGATCAGTACTTTACTTATATTACATCCTTTAACTCTCACAATTCTGTAAAGTAAGTATTATTATCCCTTATTATTACCCCATGTTACATTTGAGAGAATTGAGACCCAGAAATGTCAAATGACGTTCCCAAGAATACACAACTAGTGTATGGTAGAAACAGGATTCAAACAAAGGTCTGTCAACCTCTAAAGTCCTTGCTTTATTGACTACACCCACTATATAACAGAGCCCCTAGAAACCACAGCCTCTTGTCTTTGGGTGTGTCCTGGAAGGTCCCATGGCCAGGGAAATCTCTATCTCTGACCAGTGATTTCTACAGTCTAGGGTCACCAAGGGTCTCTTGGATAGATACCCCCTATTTGAAGCTCTCTTGGTTTATTCATTTTCCACTTTATTTATTTCTACTTTGTTGGTTTTCTGGCTCAGTGAGACCAGCATAGGACTGCAAGGAGATGGTAAATTACAACGTGCACAGCAGGGGTTCAGGAGAGAAGGAAGAAAGGAAAAAAGGTGGAAGGAAGGAAGGGTAGAAGGGAAGAAGGAAGACATTATATCCTGCTTGCTTTTTTTTTTTTTTTCCAGCTGAGCCATCCTGCCACCTGTTGGCAGCTAAGCAGCAGCTCAGCTCAGGCTGGGAATCAAACCGGCGACCCTGTTGCTCAGAGCTCGCACTCTTGAGCAAACTCTTAACCAACTGAGCCACTCGGCCAGCCCCTATATCCTACTTTCTTATCTGAAGAATGTGGATACAGTTTGCACAAGTATCCATTGTTATCTTTTTTTTTCAGTTGTCCCTTTTTAATAAATAATAGTAACTTTCTACATCTTGTAAAAATATGTGGTCATATTAATATAACTAATCTGATTGTATCCTTAAGATGCATTGTTTTTTTCACTGAAAACATTAAAGAATACATTTTAAACTGTATCTTTGTCCATCTACAAAATTTTAAAATTACTTGGCACTAACCACTGAGTTCTATCAACCTCTCTAAGCAAGCATACCTTTCCATTGGAGAATTTAAGTCACACAGAAAGAATGCTTCTCATACTTTAACACACATACGAATCACACGAGATCTTATTGAAATGCAGATTCTGATCCAGCAGGTCTGGGATGAAGCCTGAGCAACTACATTACTAAAACTCCAGCATTATCTCTTAACCTTTTATTTTTTCTGATGACACAGTTCTGCACAATGTTGACATCACCTTTGCAGGCATCCTTTTCCTTCTAAGTTTTTGTTGGGTTTGGCTCTCATAGCTGCCCCACCTATCTGCCCCACCCACTCAGCCCACCCAGCACATCCAGTTTACCACAGGGTCCCTGCACTGTGCTGGAAAAGCCTAGTGACTCAGGGCCGCATGGGGATGGGCAGAATTCCCTTAGCGGCCCTGCCCCAATCCAGGTTTCCAGCCTTCAAATACTCTGTAAGCCCAGTTGCCCACATGGTCTGTCCTAGCCTAGTAAGCTGGTAAGCTTTCTTGCCTAGTCCCTACCATCTCCTGCTCTCTGTCCCGAAAACTTCATACACAACCCCTTTGCTTTGTTTTGTTTTGTTTTGTTTTGTTTTGTTTTGCTTAGGCAAAAGTGATTGCATTCTTTCATCAAGACAGAGTCTGGGAGGAGATGGCAGCAGACAAAGAAAATTCTTTCTCATACCTTTGGGACTCCTTATGATCTTTGAAGGAATAATGACACAAAATGCAGTGGGCGTAGCCTTGCCATAATGCAGAGCATGTTGACATCCCTGAAGCCATGTTTCTGTGTCACAGCCCTGTGAGGCTGGGAGGGTAGGACTTACCATCTCAATGTTACTAACGAGGAAGCTGAAGGCTCAAAAAGGTGACTTGACTTGTCAAGAGCCCACAGCTAATAAGTGCCCAAACCTACATGCTTTCCATCTTATGATCAAAGTGCGACAACACAGGAAAATGTAACTTTCAGTGAATGAACATCATAGGCTTTACAGTCTAACAAGTCTTTTTCGAGTGTTCTTTTCTTCTGAGAACTGTATATTTTCTTCCATTTTCCAGGTGGAAACATGGAGGCACCGAGAAGGTGTGAGTGGACCAAGGTCATTCACCTAGTAAGTTTTAGAAACCAGGACTGGCCCTCGTGAGCTGATTCTTAGTTGGAGGCAAAGCCTCCTTGTGTAAGGAGTATGGGGGGTCACGGGGGCACCAAAGAAAACAGGGGAGATTAGGAATGTTTCTCATGGGAGTAGGGAAAACGGAAGGGCCAACAAATGAGCAGTTCTTTAACCAAGACTGCTGACAACTCAAAAGAGAAAAAAGAAATCCCAAAGGTAAAAAAATATCTTAGAGTTGCACAAAGAATTATTAAAATTGATTTTAAAACTGGCTCAGAGCAAAATAATCTCTATTCAAAGTGGCTATTTTGTCATTTATTTTTCTGTTGGAGGCAGGGTTGGTGGGATGATGTAAGCCAAATAAGTCTTTCTCATTAAAAAAAATAAATAAATAAAACAAAACTGTTTTCAAACCCTGGAGGAGGGACATTTGATAACACATACTGCAAACTGTTTCTTGGCCACATAACTGCTCCCACACAATTCACTTGCTGATTTATTTAATATATTGCTAAAGTTAAAAAAAACAAAACATACAAGAATGACCATCCTTTTGCTCTTTTGAAACATATCCAGATCCTAAAAAGTTATGATAATAACTATTACCATTTATTATTATCTGTCAGACACTATGCTTTACATATATTATTTCTAATTCTCATGACAGCACTGCAAGGGAGTTATTTTCAATACTTTTCTTATGAGGCATTAGGCTCAGAAGAGTTGAGCAACTTGCCCAGAGTCACACAGCTAGTATGTGGTTGAGTTGGTCTGTCTGACTCTGTGAGTTCTGATCTTTCTCTTCTGTTCCTTTATCATTAAATCAACAAACACTAAAATTGTTATATACCATCTGTATTAATTCACCGTTTCCTTTAATTGTAAATACTACATACGTTATTTTAAGAAAATAGAGCAATATGGTAGAGCATCTAAACTCTGCTCACTTCTTGTCAGAGATTTTCTTTTCCCTATGTTCTTTAAGTTTTCCTGGTTATATTAAGGAGAAAACTTTAAAAGGGGCATCTATAAGTGGCACCAGAGGTAGGTGTTGCCAGTCTGAGCTGAGGTAAGAGCAGTAATTGGGAGCCTAGCAGAGTGAAGAAAATTTCTTCACAACCCTCTAAAACAGTGGTTAGAGGCTTGCAGCGCCTGGAGCTTCAGGAAACAATAAATTAATTTCTTTCTACAATGGATCAACCAAAGTGGTACAGCATTCTGAACCCCTTGCATTGTTAATCACCTTTGTATTCCTCACTCCACCTTAATTATTGACTAAAAGCTCCCTTGGCCTGGGAGTCTGCATTTAGCAAAGCCCCAGTGATTTTTTAAAATCTTATGACCTAGTTGTAATAATCCCATTGTTTTCATTTCAACAGGTGAAATCAGGCAGCATCTTTGATAATTTCCTTCTTACAAATGATGAAGAGTTTGCTGAAGAGGTTGGAAATAAGGCCTGGGGAATAAGAAAAGTATGATATTCCCCTATCCTACCCTGAATTCCAGGTGTCTGACACCTCATTTGTACACTGTTCTTTGCATTTTAAAAGTCAGCCTCACAATCATTGTCTCATTTGCTGGGCACAGGGGCCGGCCAAGTGACTCAGTTGGTTAACAGCTCACTCAAGGGTGCAAACTCTGAGCAACAGGGTCACCTGTTCAATTCCCGGCCTGAGCTGAGCTGCCGCTGAGCTGCCAACAGGTGGCAGGATGGCTCAGCTAAAACAAACAAAAAAATCATTTGCTGGGTACATGGCCCTGTGAGTGCCAGGGTTGGGTGGAGCGGAAGAACTCAAATTCATTGGACATCGACAACTTTGTACTTGACTCTGTGAGCACGTTCCAAAAGTTACTCCACTTAGCCCTGAAAACAACCCAGCAAGGTAGATATTGGGTTGTCGGAAAAGTCATGACGTATTTGTTCCACGTTTTTCATTGCAAAAATGCGTCGTGACTTTTCCGACAACCCAATATTATTCCCATTTTTCAGATGTAGGAATTGAGATTCAGAGAGTATATATAAACTGACCAAGGTCAGACACAGCCTTTAACTTGTTGAATTGGAACTCACAGTTCTTCTGTTTCACTCTCCCTCTTCAAAGTATGGTGATCTAGAAGGCAGCCACTGAATCCGTTTCTGATGAATGACTTGGAGAAAGAACAAAGGTGTTAGTGCTGTTTACCAGCTTCCCTGCTCTCCTAGAACTATTTTATGGGTGGAATGATATCTGGGACAATGGCTTCATGATGGTAACACCCTCCATCCAGACTTCCTGGTTCTGCAGGAAGGTCCATTCAAGCAGGTTTGTGGCCAGTTTGTGGATTACCCAATAGGCAGACTAAGATCATGCTTAGAGTGCCAGGAAAGCACAGGCATAAAAAAATTTTTTTTTTGAGCGAGAACTTTGATACTTAATATTTCCAAAGAAGCAATGAAGTAGTCATCATGGAAAAAAAATAAAAATTTATTAGTCTTTCAAAAGCTTTTTAGTCTGGTTTTGTTTTGCTTTTACTTTGGAGTTATCATCTAATATTGTTTTGTTGAGGCAATATTACATATTGGTTAAGAGCGTGAGTTTTAGGTTGCTTAGGTTAAGAGCTAGATCGCTTATGTTCAAATCCAGGCTCCATCACTTACTGGCTGTATGACCTTGGAAAAGTTATTTAACCTCTCTGATTTTCAGTTTCCTCATCTATAAATTGAGAATGATAATAGCAACTATCTTATAAATTCTTGGCATATAGCAAGTGCTCAATATATGGTGCCTGTTGTTATTAAACCATACATTCACTTGACAAATTTTGTTGAGTGCCTGTTCAAAGCACTGTTATAATTGCTGGGGATATATCAGTGAAATAAAGCGGAGATATTTCTACCTTCATGAGGCTTACATTCGGTTAAGGGAGCCCAATAAGAAACACATAAAGAAGTACATATACATGGATCAGATGGTGAGATAAATGATGGAGAACAATAAAGCAACAGAGAGGGCTGTAATAATGAGGGTTTTGCGCTTTTACATAAGGTTGGTCAGGGGAGCTGTGGTTGAGTTCGTAACATTTAAGAGACCTGGAGGAAGTAAGGAGCAAACCATGCAGCTATCTGAAGAAGAAAAGCTTTCTAGATAGCAAGAACAGCATATGCAAAGTCCTTGAAGTAGGAGCATAGCTTGCTTGTTCAAGAAAGAGTAAGAAGGCCAGTGTGACTAGAACTGAGTGGGAGAGAACAAGAGTAATTGGGGCCATATCCCTGAGTAAAATGCCACCGGAGCCATTTTTAGTAAAGGCATGATATGCACTGGCTCATAGTTGCAGATATTACTCTGGCTGCTGTGTTACATGTGACTATAGGAATAAAAAAGAGACTATCGCGGAACAAGGCAAAAGTAGGTGGTAGTGGTGGACAAAGGAGAAATGCTCAGGTTCTAGATCCATTGGAGGGCAAAACTCACAGGAGTGATTAGATATGAAATATTGAATTTAGGTTTGGATACAGAATATGAGTGAGAGTAAACAAGAACGGCTCCAAGGTGTTTGACCCAAGTGATTAGAAGGATGGAGTTACTGAGATAAGGAAGAAAATGGAGAAGAATATTTGGGGAAAGGGGTGGGGACAGAAATAAATAACATAGTTGTTAAATGTTAAGTCAGATGATTATTAGAAATCCAAATGTCAAGGAGGCAATTGAATATGAGTCTGGAAAAGAGATATAAATTTGAGAGTCATTAGTCTACAGGTAATACTCAAATTCCTATATAGCTATATGAAATCTCCTAAGGAGTGGGTGTATATATTGGGTTGTCAGAAAAGTCATGACATATTTTTTCTATGTTTTTCGTGACTCTGACAAGAGCAGTGTCAGGCCGGACGAGTGGCGCATTGGTTAAGAACTGGCTTGGGATGCTAGAGGGCGCCGGTTCAGATCCCACATATGAGGGCCTGTGACACTGTCCTCTACAGCTAAGATGCTGAACAACAGCTCAACCTGGAGCTGGGCTGCCGTGGGGTGACAGCGACGGTGTAGGTGGCAGTCCCCTGCTGCAGTGGGTTGCCATGGGCTACTGTGTGTAGCTGGCAGCCAGCATGAGCGGCCAGCAGCCGCAGTGAGCGGTCGTCCAGAAGCCGGTGACTGTTCTGCCTCACCCAGGAAGAGCGCAATGATGGTGCCAACTTGGGCCAGTGAAGCAACGTCCTCCACAACTAGACTGAAGAACAAAACGACAGCAACTTGTCTGTTCCCCTTCCCCCAACTCCCCAAAAAAATCTTTAAAAAAAAAAAAAGAGCAGTGTCAATGGAGAAGTATAGGCAAAAATGGGTTCAAGAAAGAATGGAAGAACTAGAGACAGCAGGTATAGACTAGTCTTTTGAGGAATTTTGCTGAGAAAATGGTGGAGAGAAGGGGGTGGTAGGTAAAGGGAAATGGTCATTTTTTTTACGTATAGATCTTCCTGTCTACTTGTTTTCTTTCTTTTTTTTTTTTTTTTAATTGGGGAATTGTGGCAGGGGAGCAGTGTTGGGGAATTGGGGAAGGGGACCAGCCAAGTTGTTGTTCTTCGGTCTTAGTTGTGGAGGGCGCCAGTCGGTATCTGGCTACCCGTTGGCAGCTCGTGGCATCTAAGCTCAAGGTGCTGTGTTCAATCTCAGTTGCAGGTGGGCGTAGCCACCATCCCATGTGGGAGTCAAACCAGCAGCCTTATTGTTAAGAGCACGTGCCCTATCCACTGAGCCATCCGGGCGGCAGTTCAGCTCAAGGTGCCAGGTTTGGTCTTCAGTTGCGGGCGGGCATGGCCCACCATCGAACAGGCTGTCTTGTTGTTAGGAGCACATGGTCCCACCAACTGAGCCATCCTGTTACCTGTTGGCAGCTCAGCGGCAGCTCAGCTCAGGCGCAGCGTCACTGGCCCATGTGGGAATTGAACTGGTGGTTCTGTTGCTCAGAGCTTGCACTCGTAAGCTAAGTCTTAACCAAATGAGCCAGTCAGTAGGCCTCTGACTACTTGTATTCTAATGGGATGCTTCAGTGAAGGCAGACACAAGGTAGGAGAGAAAGAGGATAATTTCTGGAGCAATGTTCTTGAGAATATGAGAGTGGATGAGATCTATTTCCCAAGAAGATAGGTGAGCTTTCCATAAGAGTACAGCTATTTCATCCATAGTCACAGGAGTAAAGAATGACTGCATGAGAATAGATACAAATAGGTGGGTAGATGTGGTGGTGAGAATATGTTTTGGTTGGATTCTCTGGGAAGCAGCCACCAAGATGGAGTTAGAAATATAGGCAATGTATGGTGGATAATGCCTAGGAAAGATGAAGGGTAGAGGGTGTGGGAATAGGCAGACAAGTCTGACACCTGTGAAAGCAGAGGGAAGAAGGTGGAGGATTGGGTAGGAATTGCGGCCTACTGAAGTGTAGCTCTGAGAAAGTCTCACCAACTCAACAGGGCTCCAGTGAGAAGCCTGGCTATACACGAGTGCCATTTTGGAAATGGCCAGACCCTAGTGCTCCCGCCATGCTCAGCCATTGGCTGGGGGCTGCCTTGGAGCAGCATGTCCTGGGTTCAGATGCTGCTGGGGATCCCCAGGTGCTGCAGCTACAGGCACTTGGCTCACTGCATTCCTCACAACTGATTGACAAGTTCTTCAGGGGAAATTCAAGCGGAGTACCTCCACGGCTGCCACAGAGTAAGTGGAAAATTACTTGTGATTGTGAAATAGGAAGTAAGGCCAACAACTTAGCACAAGATTGGGAGAGATATGTTAGAGGTTTGAGGAGAAGACGGTGAAAAATAGTTATCCAGGGAGAAGGAGAGTGAATCAACCACAGAAAAGTAGTAGGCTTACTGGCTAGCCCTTAAGGGCTCACGTGAGTTTAATAAGAATGAGTTTAAAATGAGAACAATCAGCTTGGTTTTATTGTTTCCTCTGCTTAGGTGCAGGCTGGAGAGTTGGATTTAACCAGAGTTGAGGGTTTGCCCAATGAAGGGAGGAAGGGCAAGGGAATTGAGGATGTTTGCAAAAGATTGATCACACAAAAATAAAGGAGAAAAGTGAGGACATGAGTTGGTTGAGAGCTAATGAAAAGAAGATAGGTTCAGTGGATTGTTGTAGGTCCAGCTGGAGTTGAGGAGATAGTAGAGTTGGTGGAGCTGGTAGTTTTTGATTACCTTTGTTTGGCAAGAGCAGTTTGGGGGGGTAGAAACAGATCGGTGAGTAGAGCAATGAGAAGAAAGTGAAGAAACAGAGAAATTAATGATAGCCAGTGCTTCCCAGACATAAGAAAATGGAGGCCTTATTGTGAGAGGTGTTTTCCCCTAACAATGTGGGAAGCACAACAAGATGTCAAGCATTTGCTCCCAGCAGGATTTTGGCAGGCCCCAGCCTACTGGGCATGTAGGTTCTCAATCTAACTTTGTCCCCCAAGAGGAGTTTGTACTGTGTGTCAGTTTTTAAAGGCCCCTCTGAATAGAAAAATCTATGAAGATGGTTCTAGGGATCAAATTCTGGGGCTTGGATGAGCACATTAAAGAACACAGAAAGAGTCCCATTTCTGACTTGATGCAAGTTTTTTGGTCACAATTCAAAAACAAATCCAAAGAGTTCCTTAAAGATTGTGTTCCTGTGATGTAGCAGATAGAGGGCCAGACTCAGAGCCAGAAAACCTGGTTTCTAATTCTAGTTCTACTACTCACTAGCTACATAGCTTGGGCAAGTCATTTAATCTGTCCGGACCTCAGATCCCTCTTCTAATAAGGGAGACTAGTAACACTTACTCATACATTGCTGTGAAGAATAGCAATGATGTGTGTAGATTGTCTTGCACAGAGCTTGCAATACTGTCGGCATTCAGTAAATGTTTTTTGAATCTGAAATAATTTTATTTATGAACAAATTACACACACACACTTCTCTCCACCCCACACATACTGAAAATTTTTATGTAAATAAACACCATCCCAGAAATCTTTTAAGAGTGTGGGAAGACGCCAGACATTTCTAAAGTAGGTTAACTTTGTTTATACCATCTGTAAATTATTTTGAAATTCCACATTCTAAACAGGATGTAGAGAAGCAATGGAGAGAACTGTATGAAGAGACGGAAAAAAGAGAACAGAAAGAAGAAGCCAAGAAGAAAAGGGAAAAGGAGGAGGAAAGGGAAGATGATTTCTGGAGAATTGAAGAAGAGGGAAGTGAAGAGGATTTTGCTGAGGAACCAGGAAATGACAGGCAGACGAAGGAAGATGATGCTGAAAGAGTGTTTCTGGGTAAAAATGAAGAAGTCCTTATTGACCAGAAGGATGTACTGTAACTGCAAAAAAATGGTTACATTCAGAGGCAAATGATTTTGCTTAGAAGGAGAAATGTTCATGAGGTTGGCAAACTCTGGGGAGCAAAATTACTTGCCCTTTTTGAATGAAATTTGGATTTGTATTTCTACCCCACCACCTCCTTTGCTCTGTCCAGCCTTAGGAAGGTCACATAACCTCTTGCGGCTTTTATTTCCTTGTCAAGGGAAAAGGAGTGATAATTCCTATTTCATGAGGTTGTTGTAGGGATTAAATGAGCTCTGTGTATAATGTACCTCCTATAAATATACGATCAACAAGTAGTAGCCATTGCTACTATCATTATCATGATGTTTATGAAATTAATTGTTGGTAACTAAGCTTCTGTATAAACTTGATCCTCACTTTCAATTTATCCCTTACATCCAAGAATTTCATTTTGTTTAAATATCTGTACTTCCTAGTACTTACCGAGCAGTTCTGAGGGTTGTACTTGTGGTTGATGATGTTTTCTTCTTGCAGATGTATTGAGCACTTAAAATAAAAATCAGACATAACATAAAAAAAGATACATTATGAAAGTCCTTTTGCTTCTCTGCCCTATCTAATTTTTAATTAATTATTACTTGTTTGCTGGTTTGCTGGTCTTACATTTACCTTTTTGCCACCTGCTCACATCATTTTCATATGCATTCACTTAGCCCTTTATAGATTGCAAAGCACTTTCTCATAAATTTGAGGAGCTCCTGCAATGTGCTCATTTAACACTTATAGCAGCCGTATAGGACGCCATTATTATCGTCCTTTTACAGATTCAGAAACTACTCAGAGCGGGAAGTAATCTAACTTTCCTGTGTCTCGTTTTTCACATTTGTGAAATGAGATTAATAAGGGGACCTACTGCAGGCTCAGCTGTGAGGATTAAATGCTGACTCCTTCCTTCCTTTGTTTTACCAGAAGTACTCAAAGGACTAATCCCAGTCTAGCTGGTGAGTCAGGCCCATACATAGCTGTCGTATGATAGCACAGGGCTACAAATACGGGTCTGGAACTTAGTAAGTGTTTAATAAATATTAGTTGAAAGAATGAACAAAACTCTGGCTGGTGGATTCAGGGAAGATTTCATGAAGGAAGTGACTTTTGAGACAGATCTTGTAGAATGCATGAGTCTGTCTGATGGAGAAGGGGATGTGTGGATCAAATTTCAGAGTCAAAGAGTAGGGCACCCGGATGACAGGAGGTGGGTGGTGAGGTCAGGGAGGAGCACAAGAACTCCCTTCCTTCTTTCCTGTAGGTTGGTGCCTGGTGTAGTTTTTGGGCTTTACAATCTTTGGACTATTCTGGTTTGGGAAATTTGCCTTTGCAGGGAGGCAAAACTTGACCCTTTTAGGGTCTTTGGCTGGGCCTGAGAATTCCATTTGATTAACAAGGAAGAAGCATACCAATTTATTTAATGGAAGTTTTATGTGTCACAGGAGCCCTCATAAGAGAATAAGAACCCAAAGAAGCAGCAAAACCTAAATACCTTAATACTAGTTTGAACAACGAGAGGCAATTGTGGGAAATAACGAAAATATACAGGGAGGCAAAAGAAAGATATGAATTATTTTAACAAGGTCTCTTTGTGCACAATTCTCTGTGTCAACTTTCCATCCTTGATGATAAGAGTGTTTCTTATCTGATATATGGAGGACAGCTCTCACATGGGAGTTTTCTGTTTTCACACAGAAAAAGGGAGATCAGAGTGTCCCTTTTGTATCTGCTGTTTTTCAAGTGCCTTTAGCTGAAAATAATCCTTACGCCAAAGTGGCATTGTTTTGGTGGCACATTTTGGCACCCTTCACCTTCATACCTGTTTCTATAACGTAAGAGTTCCCATTGTGAACAGGAGCAAGGCTTCAGGTGCTGAGTCTGAACATCATCTTGGAGCTGGAGGGTGGGTGTGGAGGGTTATCTATACTTTAGGGATGCCAGTCTGATATGAATATTGTTTACTACCAATGTCTTCTCTGATTGGTCAGGCATATATGTTCTGCCAGTTGTTACATATTTTCAAATATCACCAGATAAAGATACTAATTTTCATGCAGAATAAGGATTCATTTCAATTTTTTAAGCTGCACTTTTACTTTTGTTAAAATTTTTTTGCCTTTATTTTGATGGATTGTACAAACAGTATTTGAGAATTTAAGGTAATTTTAACGAGAAAAAATTCATGATTAGTTCCACCCATTCTGAACAGACTTTGAAGTTTTTTGTGTTTCCTTCCAGGGCTTGTCTTTTAAATGCCACCGTTCTGCCACTCATATGCCTCCAGATGAGTCATTTTTAAAAAATTCTGATTATATGTTTAATTTTCAAAAGTAACAGGTGTTCAATGTAAAATAGCAGTCTATGAACATATTAAGAAGAAAGTAAACACTTCTCATTATCTCCAAATCCAGAGACAGCTGTGCAATTATTTACTATCTTTCATTCCAGTTTTGTGTTCATTCATTGACTGGTTGGTTTGACTTTGGGTTGAGAGGGTTTAATCATATTCACAGTACATGGCACTTTATCATCTTTGGTGGGTGATTATCATTTTTAAATTTTGTTATTTATTTCTTCTCTTATTCCTTTTCCCTTCCCAGAACAGGCAACTGAATTCTATTTGATGTGTATCTTTTTCTTTGTATGTGTTCTTACAAATTGAGAGTTTTTGTTTTGCGTAGATGTATTTTTAATTTATGTAAATGGTGTAGTGTCTAAATCTCATTTTGTTTCTTCATAGTCTTACTGAGCATTGTTTTTAAAATGCATTCATGTTGCTGTGTATATATCCAATCCATTGCTTCTGATTGCTGTATAATGTTTCATGATATAACATTTAGCATAGGTTAACTATCTACTCTTCTAGTGATATCGCCACTATCATAAATAATAGGTAATGAATATTTTAATGCACAATGCTTTATGTGCCTGCATAAGAAGTTCTTTGGGATATATCCCAGGAATAGAACTGTAGGCTCATAGACTATGAGTTCTTAATTTGCATAATTTATGTCAGAATTCTTTCCACAATGGCTATACCAATCCATACTCCCATCACCATAAGAGTTCCAACATCCCTACAACTCCACCAGCAGGCATTATCAAATTTTTATAGTTTAATAGATGTAAAAGGATAACACCTTGCTATTTAATTAACACTTCTCTGATATTTTTGAGCATCTCTTCATATGTTTTTTGATTTGAGGATTTCCTTTTTCATATTTTTTGCTTTTGTTTTTCTAAAGGTCGCTGCCTTCTTATTTATTTTCAAGAGTTTTGTGTGGTGTTTTATTATAAATATCTTCCCTCATTCTCTCATCGAGTTGCTTTGTCCACAGTGTCTTTTGTTGAATAGAAATTCTTATTATTCATCAATATTATTATCTTATAATTTGTGCTTTTGAAGTTTTGCCTTTCCCTTCTCCTCAGTCACAAAATATAATACTCTCCCATATTTTTCTTTTATAATTTTATTTTTCAAATTTATTATGTCTTTTAGCCTCGTAGAGTTCAACCTTGTATATGATGAAGAATTGTTTAAATATGGTAATTGTACTTCAAACCTTGATATATCAGTTTCTGAGAGGGGGATATTAAAATCTTCAGCTACCCGTGTGCATCTCTCTATTTCTCCCTGCAGTTCTGTATGTTTCAAGACTGTATAATTAGGTGTATTTATGTGTTTTGTCTGTTGCATTTATGTGCTTGCTTATTGTTTTTTATGAATCTATAGTGACTTTTTATCATTTGTTATCTTTTGAGACTAAAATTTTTTTTTGCCAGCAATTGGGATCGCATCCCAGTTCATATTTTCCTGGCGTATCCTTTTTCACCTTTTTATTTTTAATCTTTCTATCTCCATATGTTTTAAGTTTGTTTCATATAGCCAATTTATTGTTGCATGTAATTTCTCAAAATCCAATAGGTGAAATTACTTTATTTGCATTTAATGTAATTACTATATATTAGGATTTAGTCCTACCACCCATTTGCTATACGTTCTTTTTATTTTTACCCTCCATTTCTGCTTTCCATTGGCTAAGCTGAATTCTCTCCTGTGGGCTTAAAATTTATACATAATTTGTGTGTGTGTGTGGTGGTAGCCATTAATTTTAGGCTCATACCATGGGTTTAAGAGAGTTCCTCCATCTCAACAGTGTGAACAAAAATTCAAACCAAATTTCTAAGCTTGAGGCTCAACGATCTGATGTATCATGAGCTCATGTTGATCCAATCACTTGCTGAGGTGGGAGGTGTTTCATCTTCAAAGGAAACACAGGGTGCTGTTACCAAAAGAAGGGAGAATGGAGGCTGGGAGGCCATATAACAATATATGTGCACTTCTTCATATTAAATAAACTTCTCTGAGTCTCAGTTTCTTTATCTGTGAAATGGCAATGATAATATCTACTCAAAGGGGTGATACGAAGAACAAATTAGATAATAGATCTTAATGTTTCTTCTGAATCATAAAGTGCTGTACAGAGATTAGTTGTTATTCTCACTCTTGCATTCTTCACATGATATTACTATCATTTGTTTAATGTTGGTATTTATCTGTACTATAGCTGGGCAATTACCATCCTATCCAGCATTTCCTCTAAATTGTGATGATGCCTGTTGAATTGATTTTCTTTTCCTGAGAATAATGAATGGGCGTAATGTCAGGATCATGACAGGATCATGTTTGACCTGGAAGTCAGTTTCCATCCAAAGAGCCCTCAAGTTGCAGGGCAGGGTACCTTGCTAGTAGGCTTGCCCGACTCCACACAGCTGAAAGCTTGGTACAATGGTATCAAGCGGGCTCTGTTCTTTCTCTACCTCAAATTAGATGTGTGACCTACACCACTTAAGTGAACAACATCACTTAAACTCTCTGAGCCTGAAAAAATGGAGGTCATAAAATGATCTACCTTTTAAAGTTGTGATAGGATTAAATAAGATTATACATAAAATGTCCTGGCCTTGGAGAAAGTCTTAAGCTTGTCAGACACAAATTCAAATGTTTTTCTTGATCACTTACTGATTTCCATTCTGCTAATTATGGCTAGGTTGAGTGTAGGTTCTTTCTCATCTCTTGAAGTACATTGAATTGCTCCGTTTCCTTAGAAACTGTTATCCCCCTCCTCAAGGCATGAAGTCTTCGAAATTTGGACCAGGAATACTTGCCAGCAGGATAGTTTCACAAGAGAGATCCTGTTCTTCTTAGGCAACTGGAGTTGATAATTCTTGTTCTTTTCACCTATGAAGGATTTAGACTAAACTTAAAGATAGTGTGTACCTGCTATGTTTACTGGAGTGGGTTCTTCTACCACATTGCTCATAAACCCATAATAATCTCATGAATTAGATAATAATATCCCTATTTTACTGATAGGAAATAGAGATCACACAAATTAAGTAACTTAACCAAGGGTGACACCGTTGATAAGAAGAAAGGAGGTAGAATGTAAGGAGGATGGTTTTGGAATCAGACAGATCTAAAT